CTACTACTGCTACTACCACTACTACTACTGCTACTACTGCTACTACTGCTACTACTACTACTACCACTACTACTACTAATACTACTACAACTACAACTACAACTACAACTACAACTACTACTACTACTACTAATACTTACTTTACTACTACTACTACTTACTACTACTGCTACACTACTACTACCACTACTACTACTACTACTACTTACTACTCTACTACTAACTACTGAATACTACTACTACTACTACTTACTACTATACTACTAATTAGTAATACTACTTCTATACTACTATCGGAAACTACTAGTACTACTAGTACTACTAGTACTACGACTACTTAGTACTCGACTGCGACTACGACTACTACTTACTACTACTACTACTGACTACTGACTACTTCGACTTACTTACTTTATTCTACTCCTACTACATTGACGACTACGACTACGACTACCGACTACTATCTACTATACTACTGCTACTACTACTATACTACTATTACTATTACTACTACGACGAAGACTACTACTACTACTACTACTACTACTACTACTACTACTACTAATACTACTACTACTACTACTACTACTACTACTACTACTACTACTACTACTACTACTACTACTACTACTACTACTACTACTACTACTATCCTTATTCCTTATTATAATATACTCCTACTCCCCCCTCAGGCCGGCCATTAGGGGCCGCATCCGGGTGGTCCCATCCTAACCTGTAAAAAAACAATACAAAATCAACATTTTTCTTATTTTTTCCTCTCGACATGGACGTCCTGTCGTCCACGGCGATAATCCATTGCAAAAAATACCACAAAGAGCACACGCGCGCGTTCATGTCAGAATCCTACCGAACACCGTGTGTTTGCAAGCATTTCAACATAAAAACATCAAAAACCCGATGTTTTTTTTCACAAAAATTGTACAAATTTCCCGCCCGGGCTCTCTTGCTGAAATCATAGGAAAACCATAGGAATCTTAGGAATTCTGTCAAATCCAGCGATTTCACGTCATCGCGCGGTGCACTCGCGATGCTCTGTCATGCACCCAGGCCGCGAATCCTGTGCAAAAAATACCACAAAGAGCACACTCGCGCGTTCATGTCAGAATCCTACCGAACACCGTGTGTTTGCAAGCATTTCAACATAAAAAACATCAAAAACCCAATGCTTTTTCACAAAAATGCTTTGGGGTGTCCTGTCAGACCGTCGGGCTTCCTCCAGCCACCTCTGGCTTCCTGCGGTGTACCCGGCCATTCTCGACTCGTCTGGGAATGCGTGCGCGGCATTCAACACGCGCTCGCCGCGCCGTCGGCAAACCGCCATCGCCCGAGGCCCAGCTTGTAACAAAAACGGCTGGCCGGTGTGGACTTCGCCCCAGTTGTGCCGCTTTGACTTCTATGTTGTGGGGGCGGGTGGACTGGTCAATGCCATGCTTGACTCGCTGAGCTGGCTAAGCTTGACCTCCTACTCCTACTGCCTACTCCATACTCCTACTAACTATACTACTTACTACTACTACTAACTAATACTACTATACTACTACCAGCCATTACTACTACTATTACTACTACTACTACTACTACTACTACTACTACGACTACTACTACTACTACTACTACTACTACTACTACTACTACTACTACTACTACTACGACTACTACGACTACTACCACTACAACGACTACGACGACGACGACGACTACGACTACTACTACTACTACTACGACTACTACTACGACTACTACTACTACTACTACTACTACTACTACTACTACTACTACTACTACTACTTCTTCTACTTCTAGACGAGACGGCCATTTTCCCATTGTGGGCAAAAACACGCTGCTCCTATTGATCGAGTAGCGAACGCCATGCCAACTTTTAAGTCCAATCGGCCACCGCTAAGGCTAAGGCTTAGGCGTAGGACCAGGAGCCTAAGGCTGATGCGGCTAAGGGCCCACCTATACAGTTCCCAAGCCAACATGGCGACTTTCTCATTAAAGACAATCCAAGACCCACCACGCACGGCCGCGCGCGCGCGCGCGCGTACGCGCGTCGCACGCTGCTCCTATGGATGAACCTATGGGAAAAGCCGCGCTTAACTTCGAAATCCAATCGGTCGCCACGAGGGTTCCACCTCAGTTTCCAAGCCAACATGGCCACTGGCACGACCCACCACACGCAGCCCCGCGCGCACGCGCATCGCACGCTGCTCTTATCGCTGAACATGTAGGAAAAGCCATGTTGAATTCGAAATCCAATCGGTCGCCGCTAAGGCTCCACTTAGTTCCCAGGCCAACATGGCGACTTTCCCATCGTGGACAACGCAAGACCCACCACGCGCGGCCGCGCGCTAGCACGCGCGTCGCACGCTGCTCTGATTGATGAACATGTACGAAAAGCCATATAAACTTCGAGATGCAATCGGTCACCGCTAAAGCGCTAAGCTAAGGCAAGGTAAGGCGCTTAGCCGCTGCGGGCCGGCTTTGGCTTCCAAGCCAACATGGCGCGCGCCTTTCCTATTGTGGGCACTGCAAGACTCACCGCGCGCGGCCGCGAGCGCGCGCGCGGCGCACGCGCGTCGCACGCTGCTCCTACAAACATGGCAGGGAAGACATGTTAACTTCGAAATCCAATCGGCCACCGCTAAGGGTTCACTTTAGTTTCCATGCCAACATGGCGACTTCCCCACTGCGGGCAATTGAAGACTCAGTGCGCGCGGCCGAGCGCGCGCACGCGCGTCGCACGCTGCTCGTATTGAATGTGGTGAAGATGTATGGACAGCCATTTTGACTTCGAAATCCAATCGGTCACCGCTAAGGTTTCACCTCAGTTCCCAAGCCAACATGGAGATTTTCCCATCGTGGACAATATAATACCCAGCACGCGCGGCTGCGCGCGCGCACGCGCGTCGCACGCTGCTCCTATGCATGAACATGTAGGAAAAGCTATGCTCGCTCCGAGATCCAATCGGTCACCGCTAAGGGTTCACTTTTCTTGCCCAGCCAAAGTGACGACTTTCCCATAGTGGACAATGCAAGACTCACCACGCGCGGACGCGCGCGTGTACGCGCGTCACACGCTGCGCCTACGGGTAACCATGTAGCAAAGCCATGTTTATTTCGAAATCCAATCGGTGGCCGCTAAGGGTTCACTTTAGTTCCCAAACCAACATGGCGACTTTCCCATTGTGGACAATACTACGAACTACGAGGCCCACCACGCGCGGCCGCGCGCGCGCGCGTACGCGCGTCGCGCGCTGCTTCTAACGCTTATAAGGATGAGCACGTCAGAAAGCCATGTTAACTTGGAAGTCCGATCGGGCACTGCTAAGGCTTAACCGTTAACCGTTAACCCCGCGCGGCCCCGCGCGCGCACGCGCGTCGCACGCTGCCCCTGCGTCCGGTGGATGAACGTGTAAGACTGTAAGAAAAAAGCCATGCTAACTTCGAAATGCAATCGGTCACCGCTAGATGCCAGGTCCTGCTAGGTAGTAGCTGGTGGGCTAGTAGCTACAGCTAGCTAGTACACACGTTGGTTTCCAAGCCAACACGGCGCATTTCACATTGTGGACAACCCAAGACTCACTCACCACGCGCGGCCGCACGCGCGGGCGCGCACGCGCGTCGCACGCTGCCCCGATTGAGAAACATGTAGGAACAAAAGGCCATGTTAACTTCGAAATCCAGTCGGCCACCTCTAAGGGTTCACTGTAATTTCCAAGCCACCAGTGCTACTTTCCCATTGTGGACAATGCAAGACCCACCACGCGCGGCCGCGCGCGCGCACGCGCGTCGCACGCTGCTACGTGTAGGAGAAGCCATGGTAACTTCGAAATTCAATCGGGCACCACGGGGGTCACTTTTAGTTTCCACACCAATATGGCAACTTTCCCATAGTGGACAACACAAGAATCACCGCGCGCGCGTACGCGCGTCGCGCGCTGGTTCTATGAGTGAACATGTAGGAAATGCTATGTCGCTATGTTCACTTCCAGATCCAATCGGTCACCGCTAACGGTTCAAATCAATTTCCAGGCCAACATGGCGACTTTCCCATTGCCACTGTGGACAACACAATACTCACCACCCGCGGCCGCGGGCGCGCGTGCGCGCGTCGCACGCTGCTCCTCCTATAGGTCCGATACTATAGTACTATAGTCCTATAGGTGAACATGTAGGAAAAGCCATGTTAACTTCGAAATTCAATCGGCCGCCGCTACCGCCGCTAAGGCGCTAAGGGCTAAGGGTTCGCTTTGATTGCCAAACTGCCAAGCCAGCGTGGCGTCCTTCTCAATGTGGTAGGACAAGACTCATCATGCGCGGCCGCGCGCGCGCGCACGTAAAAGCGTCGCACGCTGCTCCTATGTCCTATGGGTGAACAGGTGGACCCATGTTCACTTCGAAATCCAATCGGCAACCATAGTCTATAGTCTATAGCCGCTAAAAGGCTGGGTTTACTTTAGTTTCCACACCAACACGACAACTGCCCCATTGCGGACAATACAGAACACAATGGTACAAGGCTCACCACGCGCAGCCGCGTGCGCGCGCGTGCGCGCGTCGCACGCTGCTCCTAGTCCTAGGTCCTAGGTCTTACTATAGCTAGGTCCTAGGTCCTATGTCCGATGGCGTTGGATGGATGCGCGACAAGCCATGCGCACTTCGAAATCCAACCAGTCACCGATTAACGATTAATGGATTGATTAATGCTCACTTTAGTAACTTTAAACTTTAGTTACGTTCCCTGGCCAACTTGGCGACTGTCTTATTACGGGAAAAACAGAAGCCACCACGCGCGAGCGCGAGCGCGCGCGTCGGAGCGTTGCTCGCTGCAACAATGGGCGGGCGTGCAAAAAAAAACCCAAGTTAAGTTGGAAATCCAAAGCGCCACTGGTATGGCATGGGTTCACTTTACACTTTACTTCCCAAGCCAACTTGGCGACTGTCCCATTGCGGGCAACACAGAAACCGCCAGCGGCGGGGCGCGGAGGGGCGGAAGCCCAGCCCCTCCAGGGCGGGCCAGCGAGGGGGCGGAAAAGGGCGGAAGCCCTACTTGGGCCAGCGAAAAGGAGGGGGGTGCGGAAACCCTGGGCCAGCGGCGGGGGGCGGAGGGGGCGGAAGCCCTTAAAGCTTAAAGCCCCAGAGGGGGCGGAGAGCCCCGTGCCATAGTTGCCAAGTTTGTGCCAGAGGCCCACGGCGCCCGGACAATTTGGGCATCGATGTCCAGTTTGTCCGGAGACGGCCTCGGGCCTCGGCCTCCCTTGGGGCCCTCTTGGGCCCTTGGGGCGCTCACAACGCTTGGACAATTTGGACATCCATGTCCAATTTGTCTGGAGACGGCCCGGGCCCCCTTGGGGCCTTCTTGCGGCGCTTGCGGCGCCTGGGCAATTTTGACATACATTTCCAGTTTGTCCAGAGACGGCATCGCCCCGGATCGGCGGCACTGGCCGGAGGCCACTACAATCATTGCTATTACGAAGGTTTTAACCACATGTTGGCCTCTTGGGGGGGCACTGATGAGGATGGGCCAGAGGCCAGAGTCGCCATCTTAAGACGAATTGGTACCTCGTGCCCATGCCGTCTGCGCGTTGCGACGTTAACGCAAAAAATTGGCGGGCTTGCGCAAGGGATGCGCCGGCGCGATCTGCGCGATGAGCGTGCCGAAACGATCCGCGCGAGGGGCGTGCAGAGACGACCTTCTAGACTCTAGACTCCAGGCCCTTAGGCCTTCCCAGGCTCTTAGGCCCACTCTAAGCTCTAAGGCTAGGCGCCTTGGGACCTTAGGCGTCTTGGATATCTTGGCACATGCTGAGCATGTGCGCCTGGACTTCGCACGGGGCGGGGCACGGGCCTCAAGTGGCCGCCCCGCCCCGTAGGCCCAGAATGGCAACCCCACAACGGGCCTTGCCAGGCGCCCCGCAGCGCTCGGAAACAGCCTTCGACCCGCAGGCCTTCGACCGCCCGGATGAGGGGCCCCTCCGCCGCCAATGGACGCTGTGCCAGGGCGGTTAGCCACGCTGAGCAATATCTGCGGGCAGCGTGGCGCCTTGCCCTGGCGCAGGTGTTCTCGCTGATGGCTGCCGCAGTGGGGAGGCGGTGCCTTCGCGGCCTTCGCGCCCCCCAGCTCTCTCGCACGATTATCTCGCACCATGCGCCTCAAGCTCCAAGATGTCCAAAACGCCCAAGTTGGACGAGGAGGAGGAGGAGGAGGAGGGGGAGAAACAGGAGGAGGAGGCGGTGATTTCAACCACGGTGCTGTCAGGAGGACGCTGTTGAAATGGACTCAATGGACGCTGCTCAAGGCGGAAGAGGAGGAGGAGGTGGAGGAGAAGCAGCAGCAGCATCAGCAGGAGCAGCATCATTCTGATAGTGTACATATTCCATAGAAAATTCGGTTTTCATGCGGGGTTCATCTGTTGGAATATGTTTTAGCAAAAGTATCCGGAGCAAAAAAGCAACAATGCGTATGTTTGTCGTGGCGGTTTTTTTGAGAAAATAAAAATTCTTTACATATGGAACGAACAGGCAATCAGATTAGGCACCGCACTTGAACAAAGGTCGCTTCTTAATGTTTGGCCCTTTGGAAGCGCGGCCTGTTCCTCCAGTCGCGAAAGACTATGGCCTCAAGACGGCTCCAGAACGCTCCAAAACGTGCAAGTTGGGTCCAAGACGGCGTGGGTGGTTTAGAGAGTTTCTTTTTCCACCCCTCCTTCTTCCCCTTCGGGGAGGGGTTTACCCCTCCCCCTGGGCCCCTAGGCCCTACCCCCCCCCTTGACCTGGGCGGGGCGTTTCGCGAGCGGTCAGAGGGCACTTTGTCGCCCAAGATGGCTCCAAGAGCGCTTCGGAAAGCCTAAGACAGATGACCTCCGATATCAGTATTGATCCAAATAGCGTAAGATACCTCAAGATGGCTCCGAATATGCTCCAAGACTCCAAGAGGCTCCAAGACCGTCCCAAGACGGCTCCAAGAGGCCAACTACTAGCTTTCCAAGGAGGCCTCCAAGAGGCAAACATCCATTGAACTCCTTAGGGAGTCAAATGATTGTTGCCTTCTCGCTGTTTCGTTTCCGATGGCCATCCGAGGCCTCAAGGTGGCTCCAAAATGGCTCAAGAAAGATCCAAGAGGGGCCAAGCCAAGAGAGCCCCAAGATGGGCCCAAGAGCGCCCAAGAGAGCTCCAAGAGCGCTCCAAGAGTGGTCCAAGAGGCGATGTTCTGTTAGAGGCTCCCGAGGGGCGGTGCTGCTGCCAATGAAACCCCCTCCCTTTTTGTCGATCGATCTCCTGAGACCCCAAAGGCCCAGGAGACCCCAAGAGACGCCCAGCTTCCACGAAGCTCCCAAGAGACGGCCAAACGGCCCCAAGAAGGCCCTCTCGGGACTCTCGGGGCCTTCTCGGGGCGCCCACGGCGCCTGGACAATTTGAACATCCATGTCCAATTTGTCCAGAGACGGCGCCTGGCCTCGGCCTCTCTTGCTCGGGGCCCTCTTGGGGCGCCCGCGGCGCCCGGGCAATTTGGACATCCATGTCCAGTTTGTCTGGTGACGGCCTGGGCCCTCTCGGGACTTCTTGGGGCGCCCACGGCGCCCGGACAATTTGGACATCCATGCCCAGTTTGTCTGGGGACGGCCAGGGCCTTCTTAGGGCTCCTGGGCCCTTGGGCTCTCGGGGCCCTCTTGGAGCGCCAACGGCGCCCAAGCAATTTGGGCATCCACGTCTAGTTTGTCTGGAGACGGCGCCTCGGCCTCTCTTGGGGCCCTCTCGGAAGCTTGGGGCCCTCTTGGGGGGCGCGCGGCGCCCTGACAATTTGGGCGTCCATGTCCAGTTTGTCCGGGGACGGCCTTGGCGCCTTGGCCTCTCTTGGGGCCCTTCCGGCTCTTGGACTCTCGGTGCCCTCTTGGGGCGCCCGCGGCGCTCGGACAATCTGGACATCCATGTCCAATTTGTCTGGAGATGACCAGGGCCCGGGCCATCTCGGGGCCCGCTTGCGGCGCCTGGACAATTTGGACATCCATGTCCAGTGTGTCCAGAGAGACTCTCGGGGCCCTCTTGGGGCTCCCGCGGCGCCCGGACAACGTCCGCGTCCACTTTGTGCGGATGGGCTGGCGGGGAAACGCGTAACGTCTAGAACTAAAATTCCAGAAAAGAACACGGTCGTAGAGTCGTAAAAGTCAGGAAACCCTGCCCCGTCGCGCGCGCAGGAATACATGAATACATGGGAATATGAGTAAAACATTAATCAATCATTAAAACATTAGATAATGGATATGGCTAGGGACTGTGACTCTAGTGACGCGACTTGACTAACACTCACACTAGTCACTAGCCACTACTAGTAACACTAGTAGTCACTACTACTACACTGTAGTCACCACTAGTCACTTCACTAGACAAGGGACTAGGCTAGGCCCAAGTAGGCCGATCACTCCCGCGCGCGCAGGCCACGTAAAAAAAAATCCCTGCGCAACGAGCAACTGGGGGCACTGGGAATCACTGGGGACTGGGGAGCTCAAGGCCGACTCTTCGAAGCTCGGAATTCCTACGGGGGGGCGATCAACTTGCCTCGGATTTCGGATATTCCGCTGGGGCGCTCGCGATCCTGGACACCACGCTGCCCCCTGTGCCTGCGCTACCCTGGGGCTGACACCTACCCTGGGCCAAGGAAGAATGCCACGGCTTTCAAACGCCCACACTGCCTTGGACCAGCTGTCCATCAAACACCCGCCCACCATGTCTGCGACGACTCCATCTGCTGCGCTCGAATCCTGCAATATCGAGAACAAGCGAAACGGATACCCGCGCTGAGGCCGATGCATGAGGTGTCGCACACCTGCAGCTGCGCGGATCAACATTGCCCATGCCAAACTGTGAAACTCGTAAGTTAGAACCCCTTGAGGCAAGAGCGTCCAGGGGTCGGGGTCAGCCCCCAATCGGCCTGTTGACGCTGCCTCGTATTTGGTATCAAGGACTGTCTCATGCCCTGAACGCTTCAACAATCGATCAAACAATGTGACCATGGGTTCAACGCACAGGCGAGTAAGCATTGCCAAAGGCCCTGGTCGATCCCTGGCGAACTGTTTCGCGCAGCCTCGCTGCGCCTCGTTGAACGCCTGCCAGTCCATCACGCCATCTTTCATATATGATTCCGGTCTGGCGTCGTCGACATCTCCATCGCCCATGAACTCTGCATCAATACTGTCCAACGGCGGAGCGGGCTTCCCCGCCTGGAGGGCCACCCACGCAGACACAGCCTGGGTCAAAATACAATGGCACGATGAAAGCAACCCCACACTGCTCAACGTTGCATGGCTCAGCAACCATCGCGTCCGAGGAAACAGCAGAGTTGCAAATGGAAATAATGCCATGCTCAGTTCCTCTGCCCATTTCTGAATATCGAAAATCTCGCTTCCAGTGTACCACTCGATACGACGATCCTGCAAGTCCCCTGTCAACAATGGGTTCAGTTTCGCTTTCCTCACCTGGCTTCGCCAGAACTACGCAAAAAAAGATCGAGCACCCGATGTCTGTAAACAACTCGCGGGTGGTCATCTGGAGGCGGCTGTATTGCAATTGGGCGCGCTCTGTCAAGTAATCCATATTCAAGTGCTTGTCGGAATTTGATCAGGGCTTGGGGGGCCCGCTGAGCAAGAGAGAACGCAACCGTCCCAGATATGAACTTCGACACTGGCTGGCACTGCCGGCACTGCACGGCGCTGCCAATGTGCAGGTCGCACACCATAGTTAACCTGCTCGCTAAAACAGAATCTGATGCCATGATGCTCTCAGCTTTTAAATTGGCCGCCACGCGGTCGCACGTGGAGCAGCGAAATGCAAGCGAACATTTTTTTCTGCAGTGTGTCCAGCATGGGCGCGTCCATCTGCTCACGGACAAAACGCATGATAACCTCTCCAGTCGCGCTGTCTGTCTGCTGCAACGGGCGCGGGCATGGGGCGACCAAATCCCACCAACCCCTCTGAGCGCACATGGTTTACATGTGCCGCTGTCTCTCCCCCTCCCCCGCCCCTGCTCTCGGGGGGCGGCCCCTGCCCCTGCCCCCCGCCCCAGCCTGGGCGAGGCAATGTGGGGCGCGGCGCAGCGCCCAAAATGGCCTCACATGGCGCCGAGAGGTCCAGCGTGGCCCCAGCCCAAGCAAGCCCGACGGCCCAAGATTGCCCTCCCCTGGCCCCCATCGACAGCCCAAGACGGCATCCAAGATGGCCCAAGATAAGCGAAAACGGTTCAAGATGGGCTCCGGCGCGCCGACGTGCCCCCCAGACGCCGAGGGCCGGGACCGCGCCCCTGTCTTCGATCTCTCGCTAGAGGCCCAGACCTGTCAAAGACAACTGGAAACTCAGCGGCGCTCGCCTTCCAATTTTTTTTGCTCTGATTGATTGGGCTCCGAAGCCCCAAGATGGCCTGGGATGGCTGGAGACCCAGATGGCCTCCAGGAGGCCCCGAGTCAGAGCCCACCACGACGGGGCCCAATGGGCCAAGAGCAAGCGGCCCACCCGAAACTCGCACTCCTCCGTCGCAAGAAAAAAAACTGGGGTGCCGCATGCCACTGCCCCCCCCCCCCCCTCCTCCTCGTTTGAGCCGCGAGCCCGCTGCGGCGTGCATAACCCCCCAAGCCCGGTGCCCCTCCACCCACTCCCCCCCCCCACAAAGACCCCCAAGATCCCAAGAATGGTGAGAACCCCGCGAGCCCGAGATGCCCCCGAGACCTGGGGGCCCCCGGACAGCCAATGCCCAGACAGCCCCAACCCCCAAGACACGCTGGAGTCCAACGGAGTCACTGGAGCACTTTTCAAACCAACCCCGCTGTTTCCAGATGCGAACCGCGCAGCGTCAATATTGAAAATGCGACGAGCTCTGAAATCCTCAAAGATGAAGCATATCTTGAAATCCGATTGCAATACCTTGCATGTCTGTTTTTCAAACCTCCTTCTTTTTTTGGAATCGTCGGGCCTGTTGCGCGCTTCAAGAGCTGATTCCAAGAACACCCGATTTAATGGCGCATCCCCGACGGCGAAAGATAGGGGAGTCTCATCGTAAGCCAGGAACGTTCCAGCGCAAATTAATCGAATGTGCTTCTGGTCGTGCAGAAACGTCAAATGCGAACATAAAGAACTTAGAAATGACCGTGACGCATAATGGCTGACTGCAGCAACCTGGAGTGGCAACAGCGCTGCATCTCTTGGCGGCAGGTCGAGGAGTCTCGACTCAGTTGCAACGGAGGTGGCCGGACGAGGAACACCACCGAAGAGAAAGTCCATGCATTTGTAAATTTCTTCAGACGGCTCCAAGTCGCGATCTAAGATGAGGGCGACTGCAGTTTCATGAACTACCTGGCCTGTCGGCCTCAACAATTCCCACAAACTCCCAGAACCAGGATCTGATAATGGTTGCAGTAGCTGTGCGTCGTCTGCAAGAGGTAATCGTGGGCTTGCGAAGCCAGTCGAATCTCTCTGCATGTAATGCGCCAGTGGTGGTAAATGACTGCGGGGGCTCTCAGGACTCAGAGGGGGCCCCCAAGGCAAAACATCCCTGTCAGCAAGCTCGGGCGAAGGGTCACGTTCCACAGAACCTTCAGGTGAAGAAAATTGCACATTTGATCGCGGTGAACCGAGAGGTGTCGGACAATCAGCCAACTCGCTGCCTGCGCAATCTGAAGATCGCGCAACTGAGACTGGTGGGGGCGCGGGCGCCCACGGATCAGGACTCGAGCCGCCGCTCGTCCCGCAAGTCCATGCCCGGGGACTGGGAGGCAACATGCTGCGCAACAGCTCGAGCCCAAGAGCTCCGCTCCCCTGCCCCCCGGGACCCCCTCCCCCACTGGTTGTTGGGCCTAGGGCCTAGGGCCTAGGGGCTAGGGCCTAAGGGGCTACAGTGCCAAGACCCCGGAGCGAACCCTGCATCAGCCCCTCGACGGCCCCCCTTTCCCCCAGTGCCCAGGCGCACGCTTGCCTGCGACACTTTTGCTGAAAAAAACAATTGTTTTGATGGAAGGGGGTCGGCTGCGGAAGTGTGGGGGGGGGGGGGGGGGGGGGGGGGGCACTGGCCACAATAATTTGAACTGAGTTTCGGACTGCATTGGCGGGGGTTCGGATGTTACCACGACTGTGGCCTGGACCCTGGCTGGGCCCAATTGTTGATCCCACCCCTCTGGAGGAAGCCTCTTTCCCTCCTCTGGACTGTGATGGTTGCAACGCATGTCAACATTTGTCACCGGAGCGTGCCCCGCAATCCCGCCAGCCCTCTGGGCGGGAGTTTCCTTCTCCACCCCTCCGCCTTCCCCTTCGGGGGGGGGGTCGGTTTAACCTTTAACCCTCCCCCGACCCCCTCCCCTGGACCTGGACAAGGGGTTCCGCGAGTCGCCGGAACGTCGAAAACGGCCTCGGCGAGGAAGCCCGCGCCTTTTTTTTTTTTGTTGTTTTTGACAAATCGTTTTGAACAAAATGCCTAACTCATGTCCCTTTTTGGAACCGTCCCCCCCCGGGCACCCACGGAGGGAGGAACAAAATGGGGACGAGGACTACCAGGAAGGAAAAGATGACGGTGACGAGGGAAGAGGAGGAGGAGGAGGAGGAGGGGGAGGAGGAGATACAGAGACGCGTTGGGCTGCCCCCGACAGCAGCGGAATCGCCCCGGATCAGCAGCACTGGCGGAAACCGCTACAATCATTGCTGCTACGAAGGTTTTAGCCACATGTTGGCCTCTTGGGGGGGGGGGCACTGATTAAGATGACTCCAAAAGCGCGTTTGAGAGCCCAAGATGACCTCCAATATGGCTCAAAACACCACAAGATTCATAACGGCTTCCTCTTCGTGCTGCTCACTTCCCTGATCGAGGCAATTCATCTGGGCAGCGTTTCTGGATTGGCTGGTGGGGATCCGCGAAGCGTCAGCAATTCCTCCTCCTCCTCCTCCTCCTCCTCCTCCTCCTCCTGTTCCTCCCCCCTCCTCATCCTCCGCTTCCCCCTTCTCTTCCTCCTCCCGAAAAACTGCACAGGGCGGCAGAACGGGAGGACCAGGCGCTATGCTGGGACTGTCTGGGCTGAGTTGAGCTGCGCTGAGCTGCGCTGAGCTGCGTTGACCTGGCCCCCTGGCCCATGCTGGGATGGGCTGCGCTGGGTCGAGATGGGCTAAACAATTTAAAGTGAGCTGGGTCAGCAATGAACCTGGACAGACATACCCAAAGTTGGACAACGCCTACTTATGCAGGGATTTCGTGGGAAGCTGGGGACGCTGTATTACATGATTAAAGTGCACTGGGACTGTCGGAACTGCGTGCAATGGATCTGATGAGTGGCACTTTTTCTATTGCGTCACTCAAACCATGGCGTTTGCGAGCGCAGGCTACGTTACGCACTCATAGACATCAGTGGCGCAAATGTATAATAAATGTGCAAAATACGATATTTAACTCGGTTCGCAACACAACCATACTTAAACTACATATAAAACAGAACCATCGGCCGAACATATTTCGAACATATCAAAACAGACGCCGCGCACATACTTCGAACATCTTTGGCGGAATTAACAGGATGTGCGTTTTCCATATTAGCGCAACTATGCTCCCACTACTACTGCTGCTGCTGCTACTACTACTACTACTACCACTACTACTACTACTACTACTACTACTACTACTACTACTACTACTACTACTACTACTACTACTACTACTACTACTACTACTACTACTACTACTACTGCCCTCCGTCGCCTTTACTCGTCGCCGCCGCAGCCGCCGTCGTCCTTTCAGAGGAGAGGGGGACAGAGGAGAGGGGATGACAAGTCAGAGCGAGGGGGCCGAACGGTCATTCGCTGTCCTTGAGTGCGTGGCTGAAGTGGGATTCCGCGATGCGGATTCTTGTTGTTGTTTGTTGTCGTTGCTGCTGGCCTCGCCCCCCCTCCTCGAGAACCGCCCCGCACCCCCCCCCCGCGACCCACCCCGCGACCCGCCCGCGACCCGCCCGCGACCCACCCGTGACCACCCGCGACACATCCGCGACCCGCCCCGCGACCCACCCCGCGCCCGCCCCCTCACTCTTATCCTCGGGGGCAACGATCGGGGGGGATAGGCATAAGGGGGATGCATCGACCCCCAATCGTCCATCGATTGTCGATAAGGGGTCTGATAGCCCCAACCCGCCCGGGAAGGTACGGACTCACTATCGGGGGCCTATCGCCGATCTGTCGGCGAGATTCCAGGTAGATACATCCCCCCCATGCCCGCCCCCCCCACATCGTCGCCCCTCGCATCCGCAATTGCAGGGCGCCGCGTAAGTGTACAGCGCGGGCGCGGCCGCACGAAACCCTCGCAAGCAACCCGCCCCTGAGAACCCGCGCGCGATGTGCGCCCGAGGGGGGACTTGGATCACAATGAACGCAGCAGCTTCCTCAACGGCTGCGGGAAGTCGCCGCGCAGGGCGAGGGGCGAAGGAATCCGGGATGCCCCGGCGAGGAAAAAAACAGGCGGCTTCTTGATGCGCGCCATCGCTGCAGTGGCAGCGGCGTCGGCGGCTGGCGGCAGCAGCGACGACGACGACGACGGCGACGGACGACGGACGACAACTGGCCCTAATTCGGGCCTCGAGCGGCCGCTGGGGACGACCCGGGCCTCCCCCGATGGCATCCCGACAAGGCGGAGCTGACCGCCTCCATCGAGGTTCGAGATCCTCCCTCGAGGCTCGAGGTCCGCCTTCGGGGCTCGGGGTCTCTGGGCGTGGTCGGGGCTCTTCGTCGCCGTCGCCGTCGTCGTCGTCGTCGTCGTCGTCGTCGTCGTGGTCAGGACCCACCTCGACGGCGACGACGACGACGACAACAGCAACGCGGCCGCGATTGTTTCACTCGTTGCTGTCAAGTAGACGCACGCGTTCCCATCATGCGCCGTCGATGGGGAATGGTGGGGCAAGGCCGCCTCGAATCTTGATGCAACCTGGTCGCGAGGGCGCCCCGTGCAATCGATGGACACCGCGCTGAACTATTATGTGGAATATTCGGGGGGGGGGCGCTCGAAAGCTTGCCATGCGTCGCAACCAGGTAACATGTTTGACCGTAAAACACTTGCATTCACGTGGGAACTCTAGGATCTCCGCAGCCCGAGCCCTCACACGTGGTTGGTGACGCGCGCGAGCAGAGACCTCCAAGATTTCTAATCGTCAACCTTCCAGCTGAAGGCCGAGTCAACCTTCTCGCCATTGCGCAAGGCGCGCCAACGCATGTGTGGCATAGATATGTAAATCCACGCGGCCGCCTTGCCGCGGCGCCCCTGCCCTGCGCTTGCTATTCTGCGGGGCCCGCCAGGGGCCCCCGACAGCGGCGGCGGTCTCGCATCTCGCAGCCCCCAGGGACGGCGAGATCTCATTCGGATATGCCCTAGGGGCCCATGAATGCGCCAACAGTTTCGCAGTTCGCAGCCCCCCATATACACGCAGAGGTATTACCGAACAGGGATCGGTTGGTGCCGAAGGCAATAGGATCTTGTAGTTACTGAATGCGATGGGCGGCGCTGGCTCGGTGAGCACCCCGGGGAAACGCAAAGACCTCGCGGCCGAGATCGCGACGGGTTCGAGCTTCTGGGTCATATTCGGGGACTTCTGGGCTGCCACTTTGCCTGCTCCCACTGCAGCTTTGACTTTCTTGGCCTTGGTAGCTTTCGCGGCGGGTTCGCCTCTGGCTTTCGCCTTTCCCTTGCCGCTCGCTTTCGCCCCGCCGTTCTCCATCGATCAGCCCCCGATCACGAGGCCGAAGTGGGCGAGCGAACGACTTCAGCCGAGCGAGTTCTTCCAGACCAGTGATTCCGGACGACTTCGCCCGGACCACTTCTTCCGACGACGATTTCTTCCGGACGACTTCAGCCGAACCACTTCTTCCGAACCGTTTCTTCCGAACCACTTCTTCCGGGCGACTTCTTCCGGGCGACTTTTTCAGAACAATTTCTTCCGAACGATTTGTCCGAGAACGTTTCCTTTGCCTCGTCGGCCATCCTCCACCTCTTCTGGCCGACTTCTTCTGGACCCTGGACCACTTATCCGAACATGTGATGGGTGTGCCGAAATAGACACGGTAGCGCCATGCGAACCCTGCCACGAAGGCCTTCGGTTTTGGTCCCAATGGGGCCACGAAGCGTGTGAGAGGTTCGCCGACATGAGCGCAATGGCGCCATGCAAACTTCTTCCGGTCGACTTCTTCCCGTCGACTTCTTCCGGGCGGCTTCTTCCGAACGACTTCTTTTGGGCGACTTCTTCTGGACGAATTTTTCTGGGCGACTTTTTCCGGACGAATTCTTCCAGACGACGTCTTCTGGACGGCTTCTTCATGACAACTTCTTCTGGACGGACTCTTCCGGTCGACTTTTTCTGGACGGCTTCTTCCGGACCACTTCTTCCGAAGCGATTTCTCCCGGGTGACTTCTTCCGAGACAACTTATTCCGAACGACTTCT